GGAAGTGTGAGAAGGAGGCGCCTTCATATCAGTCGGGGGCCGCCCTCCGCTCCCCGCAGACCCCGGGACCCAGGACCGGGGTCCTCCTGGCGCTTCTGCCTCCCAGGGCTCAAATACTGCCCGCCTGCCCTTCCTGTTGTCAGGGACATCCCGACCTCTCTGGCCGCATGCTCAGATGACACACCGTCCCAGCCAGTGACCTGAAGGCCCTAGGCTGGCACACGGGCACTGAATGCCTGTGTCCCTGCAGCAACCTTCGCAGAGTGGCTTCTAGATGGTGTGGACACAGGGTGAGCACACCGGGCCTCTGGGGTCCCCTACGTCCTCGGTGAGGAGGGCAGAGCTGTGCGGGTGTGTCTGCTGCCAGGCCTCAGCGCCAGCTCCCCCTGCTCTGGGGACGCCTCCTGGGCTGGCCCTCCGCCCTCGCCCCCCGCCCTTGCCTCCACCCTCCAGTTGCCTCCTGGGCTTTTGCGGAACCCTCTCTTTTTCACTTCCTGTAAAATACAAGTAGCAGGAAGTTTACCACCTTAACTGTTCTCAGCTCAGCGGCATCAAACTGGTTCCTGCTGTGTGACCATCCCCACCAGCTTCCAGATGTGAAACACCCGCCGCCCACCCCCCCAGCCCCCGGCCCCACCGCCTGCCCCGTCTGTGAGTCTGACTCCATGGACCTCGCGTGAGGGGAGTCACAGCAGGTTTGTCCTGTGGCTGACTTATTTCCCTGAGCACAGCGTCCTCAGGTGTCTTCGTGTTGAAGCAGGTGTCAGAGCTCCCTTCCTTTTTAAGGCTGAGTAATATTCCATCACGTGGCCATTCCCGCCATGTTATGTCCGCCCACTCGCCCACCAGCGGGCATCTGGTCTGTTTCCACGCTTGGCAACTGTCCGGGTTGCTGCTGAGAGCTCGGCGGGCAGCTCTCTCGGGCCCTGCTTTCAGTTCTGGGAACAGCGGAACTGCTGGGTCACGTGGTAGCGCTATTTTTAACTTTTCAAGGAACCTCCACACCGTTTTCCGTTTTCCATTCCTACCAACAGTGCGCCAGCGTTCCGATTTCTCCACATTCCCCCAGCACTTATGCTTTCTATTTTTTAAAAGAGCCCTTGTAAGGGGCGTGAGCCCCTCAGCTACGGAGCAACTGCGGCAGCCTCAGCCCCGCGGCCCCGCCTCTCTGGGCCACCGCGCCTCCTCCCGTGGCCCTGCACTCCCTGCTCTGGAGCTCATCTGAGGGCTGGCCCAGCGTCACCGCCTCCCGGGTCTGGGAGCACATGCCCCTAACACGCTGTCACGTGGGTAGCAAAGATGCCTCAGGCACGAGGGACCTCTGCCCTCTGATTTCCACCCTCAGAGCATTTGCCCCAGAGCAAGGCCGCAGGGCGCCCTCAGCCCTCCTCCTCCTCACTCCCCATTGCTCCGGGATCTGCAGAGCTGCCCTGGGCCGCAGACCTACCAGTAGTCAGCTTTTATTTCTCAAGGTGATTTTATTTCTGAAAAGACAGAGCTCACCCTCGAGCACGTGGAACCGGGGCAGCCGGAGTCCCGGAGGACACGCACTTTGCGTCTGCAAAACCCCCTCTGCTCCCTGGGCCCCGGGCTCCTCGATGCACAGGCCTTAGTGAAACTTGGAGAGCTAGTTCTAGAAAAACCTTATTCCTGAAAAAAAAAGTGGTAAAGCTTCTTCTGTTAAAAAATAGCAACGGTATGTCCCAAAGCCAGAGTGGCTCCCCTCTCTCACCGTGGGGCCAGGAGGTCAGGCTTGGGGGCCGGTCGCTGCAGCCGGTTTACAGGCGGTCAGAGGGCGCCTCCCACCTTTGCCCCCCCGACGCCTCCTGGTGGGTGTGGGGGCCCCAGTGTTCCTGGCTTGCGTTTTCTGGAGCCCTTGTGCTACCCCCACCTCTGTGGGCCACGGGGACACACATGCCCAGTGGCGGGGAGCCCACTCCGTGGAGCCTGGGGACTGACCAAGGGCCATGGAGGTGAGCACACGGACGGGTGCAGGCGTGCTGGTCAGTGAGACCCAGCCCGGTGTGCACACGGAACGGCCCCGCCTGCGTGACTGCTCTGCGGTCCCTCCAGCAGCTGCACTCCCGCTGTCCCTGGGGCGCCTCCTTGCGCCTTGGCTGCCCTTCTCGTGTTGGCTTTCCCGGAGGGAGGCCTGCTGGTCCGTGCACCTGCTCGCCACACAGAGCAGGTGGCCGGCCTTCTGTGCGTCATCACCTGCCGGCGGCTCCCGGCCTCCCCTCTCCTCACCTGTGCATCTGCAGAAACACCGGGCCTCGTGCCCCTGGACCACTGTCCCCGACAAGGAGGTCACAGTCCAGGAGTGTGGGGCCCTGACCCCAGCGGCTCAGTGAACCCAGAAGGACCATTCAAGCATCCCGGGAGGAGGGGTCTGGGCACCAAGCCGTCGCAGAACCAGGGCGGGCCCCACGTTCCCTGTGGGGCGCAGCGTCCGTGGACGTCAGAACTTAATGCATGAAGACAGTTTGCATTTGCATCAGTGGGACTTGTCACACTTTGAACTCCGAGAAGCTTATGCCCAGGATCGAGCAGGCCAAAGGGACGCCTTAGGGGCCCTGCTGCTGGCTGGGACTGAGGGGCGTTGTCTGCGGAGACCTGTGGGCGAGGGCCCCCCACGCCGGCCTGGGCACCCACGGCTGCCCCGGCCGGCCACCCGAAGACCAGAGACCCCGGCCCACGGGACACGCACAGGGCCCAGGCAGGCGACCAGAGCCACACCCCAAGCTGGCCTGTGAGCGTGACCTCACCCACCTGCCCCGGGCTGAGTCCTGTGACAGAGGGAGGAGTGGCTTCTCCAGGCCGCGGGGCCATTGGGGTAGGCGCTGGTGCCCAGGGCCCTGGGGGCCGGGAGAGACAGGTGTGCCGGGGAGCGAAGGCTTCTGACCGGCGGGATCAGTGTGTGCCTGGGAGGCACCATGGCCGCAGAGCCCTTGCGCTCCCTCGCCTTCCCTGGGGGGACCAGCACATCAACAGGAAGGCACCCTGCGCGTCGAGAAGGGCCAGCGCACATTTCTCACAGTTTGTTCCAACTCACTTGTAGTGGGGCACCAAGGAGCCCCCGACCCCAGCCCCCAAGTCTCTGCTCATCGAGCAAAGGACGGAGCTGTGAGGCCGCGGGGTGACGGGTGCGCCTCACTCCCTCCCTGCAGGACTGTCTCTGGACGAGGGGCCCCGTTCCCCTCCTCTTGCTTTCTCTCTGGGAGGCCCAGGTGCCTGCGTGGCCCTGTCAGCCTCACCTCCTCCCTGCGTCGCGCCTGCCACATGCGGGTCCCCACCTGGCCTCACCTGGACAGGGAGGACGGAGAGCCCCGGGCCCCTCCTGGCCTGGCCCCCGCTGCCCCGGGGGGCTGGCCTCCTCGGGGAGACACGTTAACACGTGTTTGCTCATGCTTGGGCGCGTGTCAGCTAATGGGGAAAGGGCAGACCTTTCAAAGGCGTGATTTATGACATTAATTAGGATTCCACACTGCTGGATTTGCTACGCTGCTCACTGGCTCCCGTGTCGTATCTGTCCCTGGAAGGCCTGTGTGGAGCCTGAGCTGTGTGGGGCGGGCTCAGATTCCAGTCGCGGGTCAGAAAGAACCCCGGTAGTGCCGTGGACTATGAGCGCAGGACGATGCGGCGCAGGGAGCCCTGACCCTGCTCACAGCCTGGGGTCTGATGGGCGTAGTTACTTGCTGCCGATTTCCTCTTCCAAGACCCGCGGACCCCACCGCTCCGCCCTCCTTCTCTCCTAAAGGCTGCGCTCTAGCTTCGCGGAAGGCCAAGGGGACGGGCAGGGCGAGCAGAGACTCAGCCCCGACACGGTCAGTGGGTCTGGTGGGCACTGCGCTGCTTGGAGAGTCCGCTGTGCTGATCCAAGCCCCACGTTGTCTTGATGGAGCCAGTGAGTGTTTGCGAGCCTCCAGGAGGCTCACGTCCCTGGACCAGACCTGCTGGATGTGATCGCCACCTGGGAGGGGAAGGGAGAGGCCGCTGGGAGGTGCCGGCCAAGCACCATAGAGCTTTGCCCCTGTTTGGTGAGAACGCTGGGAGTCACATGATGCAGAGCTCGGACAGGGAGGCCGAGGAGGGTTGTGTGTGCAGCATGGGTGCCGGCGTGGGCGCGGTGGGGCTGGCCTGCATGGAGCTCCAGCCCGCTTTCCAGCATCTTGAATCCCTACCTTGAGTCTCCTACTTGTGTCCTCAGCCCGTGGCTCAGGTCTGGGACCTGACATCCACCTCGCAGGATGGGGTGGCTCAGCTCTGCTGCTGGGGGCAGTCATGAGGGCAGGTGGCACATTTGCCCAGGAGGCTGGGCGCGGCGGCCCCACACGAAGGTGTTGGTCTCTGGAGGAGGCCACCCTTCTTTGGGGCCACCGGCCCTCTGCCCCAGCTTCCTTTGGGGCCTGACCACGTCGCACTACACCCTCTGCTGATGCCCAGGCCCGGGGACTGGCCCCGGTGGTCCCTGTATCCCCAGCTCCCAGTGCGGACGGACATCTAAGCCACAGGGCTGGTTGGGGGGCGGGTGGGGTGGGGCCAGTGAGTTGGGTATGGCTCGTAACAGGTTTGCATTTGGTCGGCTGTGATCTGCTTGACGTTGGTGACATCCCAGGTCTGGGGACGGTGTCACGAGGGGCTGTCCTCCTGCTGAGCGCAGCATCCCAGCGACTGCCCACCTGCAAGCATGCCCCACGGCCCAGCAAACAGGCAGAGTAACGGGACGGGGTGCTGGAGCCGGGAAAAGGCCAGGCACCCACGGTAAAGCACAGCTCGGGGGCGGCCCCCTGCCCTCCCAGGGCTGTCCCCACCTCGGCTCGGGGACAGCAGCCCAGCTGGGCCCAGGAACCCCGTGCTGCGGCCCCTCCCCCCGTCACCCCACCCATCGTGGTCAGTGAGCACTGCTGCACATGGGCGCACAGCACGCATGCACACCCCCACCCCACCCCGTGCACGCACGTGTATGCAGGGCAACCCGTCCTGGGAGCTGGCCCTGTGACCTCAGACGCTGCTCGGACGCCACACTAGCCCTGGCGATGGTCGGCCCGTGACCGGGCCCCCCACTGCCTGGCCTGGGACGGTAGCACCCGCTGGGCGGCTGCCCTGACACCTGGGCCTCCCCACACTTCGGCCTGGCCCACCGCCTGCAGGCGGAAGCCACGACTAGGGGTGATGATCAACCATCCGCCACGTCAGCTGCGGAGGGCACCGGGCGTCCCGGGACACAGCAGTGTGTGGCCTCTGGGGGCACGTGCTCTCTCCATGCCCTCCGGGGCTGGGGGCTGGAGGGCCAGCCCTGCCTCTGCCCACCTGACAACCCCCTGCCCGGCCCCTCCTGAAGCCTCATGTGTTGTCTTGCTGCCGCTGCCAGGCACCCCGCCACAATGGCACAGCTCTCTGGTGGCCAGGCTGGAGGGTGGGCTGTGGCCAGGCCTCTCCCCCGGCCGCTACTAGCATGGTCACAGTGACAGCCGTGGAAGGCTCCCTTCCGCAGGTTTGGGGACAGCCCAGCTCCTTACGTCTGCAGCCTTCAGGGGCTGTTCCCATAGGCCCATCTGCCAGGCGCCTCGGCCGCCCGGGCCGCCCCAGACCCCC